AAAAAAAAAAAAAAAAAACTTTACCATGGTTGATGCCATGAGGGCTGGTTTGTGTATTGGAGAAACTGTTGATCTCCTGAGATTTCCACGCACAACAGTCTCCAGATTTTACACAGAATGGTGTAAAAAAAAACAAAAAACAGCCAGTGATCGGCAGTTGAGCAGATGGAAATGCCTTGTTGTTGAGAGAGGTCAGAAGAGAATGACAAGACTGGTTTGAACCTTTGGTGAATGGGCTTCACAAACAAGCAGGGGAAAAAGCCTTTTGTCCCCTTCTAGCTGCCCCTTGAAGTTGAAAAGTTGAAAAGCTGAAAAGCTGCCCAGTCTATGTCCTGCTTAGAAATGTTTTTTCACTTTCAAAGGCCAAGGACCAGAAAAGCATCCGGACCTGATGGTTTTTGTCTGAAGGTCTCTGCCAACCAGCTAGCATCTGTCTCCACACACATTTCACCAGTTTCCTCCTGCTTTAAACTCATCACAATAATCTCTGTCCCAAAAAAAACCTTGGTACCTCAAGTCTCAATAACTCAGGCCTGTGACCTTGAGATACATATGAGAGACTGGTGTTGGCCCATCTGAAGGACATTACAGAGCCCTGGCTGGACCCTGTCCCAGATTGGACAGTTATATACAATTTGTTCTGAAAGTCACTGGATATTTTTCAAGATTGTCTCTAAGAATCCTCAATATAAAAATCAAGCCCTTTCATAAGCAGCAAGCACTGTCGCATCCTTAGGGCTATCTGGCTATCCATCTATCTACAAGGGTGAGTCAGATGAACCAACAAAAATTAGAACTGACTAGAATTTTGTTCTAGAGGAATCCGGACACTGGTTAAGTGCTGCAACATTTGCATTTAACAAAATGGAGATACACTTTTGTGACACCTATAAATAAACAATACACAATGCAAAATAAATGCAATGCAATAAACAATACGAAATAAAAAAATTAAGTCACCCTCACCTATAGGTGCCTGGAGGACAAGTGGTTAGGCCTCGGCACTCTCGCCGCTGTGGCCCGGGTTCAATTCCCGGCCAGGGAACCTACCAAGCTCAGATAAAATTGGGGAGGGACCAATGATCCGTGGTGGTGACCCCTAATAGGAGCAGCCGAAAGAGGAACAACAAGTCATATGTGTCTATGTAAACTGAAAGTAGTAGCCAATATTGATAAATCACTGGGTAGCAGTTAGATAGCTGTGACAGAAGGTAGGCCTACACTTCAAGATCAGTGAAGAATATGGAGCCATACACTATATGGCCAAAATAGGGGTATTTTGACACCCCACCTAATTACTGAGTTCAGGCGTTTTGGCAATACCCATTGCTAACAATAGATGCATAAGACCTCCATAGACAAACAATGGCAATAGAATGGGTCGTGTTGAACAGTTCAGCGACTTTAAACATGGTACTGTCATAGGATGCCACAAGTCAGTTCGTGAAATTTCTGCCCTGCTAGATCTGTCCTGGTGTACTGTGAGTACAATTATTTTGAAATGGAAGTATCTTAGAGCAACAATAGCTCAGCCTGTGACCACTAGTCCTCCAGGGACCCTACAATGACCAGTAACAGATTGGAATTTTAAAAAATGATTAGAGATTCTTAAAATGTTTACATTTGCATAAAAAGCTTACAAATTTTGACACTGGAGATGTGCCACTAGATATTAAAAGATGTGCTTCCTGAATTTGTACATCCTGTCAATGAATTGGGAAACAAGCTCTTCTTCTGTCATGGTCACTTTATCATCTATCTTTCTGCTGCTTCTTCTGAAGATATGCTGCTCTATGTGAAGTGTCCGCATCCCTAAGCTTTCTGTACAGCCTTTGTTTTTTTGCTGCACTTAACCTTGCCATGCCTGCCAAACAGGAAAGATCTGATCAAAATAGTCTGATCATCATATTGCAAAAGCAAAAATATCTCCTTAATATTACTAATTCTGAATATTTCTCAAAGCCTCATAAAAATTAGTGTTAAACAGAGTCACTGATGATCATTGGTGTTGCAAGCAAGATCAGTAACACCAGTGACAATAACACCAGTGACAATTTGACACAAAACTTGCTTTTTCCAACATGGACTCCACAATCTCTCAAGCCACTCTTTATTAATTTCCACAAATATTAACAAATTGTGTGAACTAATATTTTACTTCATTCCTAATCTTTTCCCCCAGGTGTTAAAATGACTAACACCAATAAAGGCCTCATATGAAGAAACTAAACAGAAGTTTAATAAACTTTTGGGAAGAATGAGTGGACTCACCATGTGCTCTTTGCAAAGGCCTCTCCTCTTTCTGAATGCTGACCCAGGAAGAACTTTTGATGATTAAAGTGATGATTTCAAAATAAAGCGTTTTTATAGGATAACACCAAGGACATGACATTCAGGGACACGTGTTCTTTCTAACTGATGTATTTTACAGGTTGTTTACTAGTATATAACATATAAAATCATTGTGAAATATTATTTTTCACATTAATGTCACGAAAGTGCTGCACATGGCATTAGGGACAAAGCATTTTTCAGGCAAACAGAATTTTCGATAACTAAAATTAAAGAAAGAAAGAAAGAAATTGTAGCATGAAGTAGTCAAACTTGTTTTTATTATTCAGTAGCATATAAATTACTACAAATGTATTAGTTATCTGTGGGTATTTGATAAATTATTATTTTCAGAGAATGACCCGCCTGTATTTCCAAAAGGTCCAGCAGAGGACGCAAGTAAAGGCATCTTTAGAAAGGCAGTAATAAGCACATGGGACCCTAGAGAGATGCCATCCACAATGCTGTGGTGGGCTGTAATGGCTGTCTTCTACTCCTTTAGGTTGTTGCATTCAGAAATGTTTCCTTGGACTGCTAGATTACAGTCCTTAGTTGGCAATTTGACCTGAGGTGCCAGACCCCCTGAACTGGCTATAGGATCCAAACCCCACTGTCCATTTGGGTCAGCAGAGCTGCTTGGGGCAGAAGCCGCCAGGGGATTATAAGTAATTACAGTTTATCCAAGGGTGGAAAAAGTACTGAGAAATTATACTTAAGTGAATGTACAGATATGTCAAACCTTACTCAATGAAAAATGTACTCAAGCCAAAAATGTACTCAAGTGTAAGCAATAATAAAAAATAAAAAAAAAAAGATGCTACTTGTAAATGTATTCAGGTATTAAAAATTAAATGTTTTCAACTAATGGAATACAGGAATGCAATTTCTGCATTATATCATTTATCTAAAACTTCTAAAGAATTATGCCATTTTGCTTGAAAACACCATGCAAGTTTGCTTGTCATATACATGACTGATGCTACACAGTTTGCTAATGAGTGAATCAGAATAAATCTTGTAAATAACTAACTTTACGAGAGTCTTTGCTATCTTCAGCATATGGGAACATTTTAGTGAGGCAGGGCCAGGACTGTGGTGGTTTATCTATCTTCAGATGCACACAGATGGCTGTAGCATTAACTACATTGTGTAAGGTCACCGCAGATGATGAACTGGCATGATTCTTAGTTTACATAGTTTTATCGACATTTAAACTGCTTTAAACTGAAATATAAATAAAATGTGCATTGTCATATAGCATATAGTGATTGGCTGGATGAGAGAAGAGACCTTCAAGATTTGTGATAAAAACTCTGAAGATCCAAATAAAATTGTAAGGAGTAAAATATAATTAAGATTACAAGTATTCAATTTCAATAATACTCGAGTAAAGTATAAATATCCCCAAAAATACACTAAGTATAACTGTTTGTATTTTCCACCCCTGGCCATTAGGAATGGCATCCTACTGCAGCCATAGACAGGACAAATCAAGCTATTTTAGAACCATTCTTTATTTGCATGGTATATTTTCATGTAACTTAGAAATATTCCCTCCGCTGCCCATATGGCTCAAACGCCCCCTTAAAACAACCCGTAACAATGGAAAAAAATATACATTAGTACACAAAACAGGGGCAAATATTATAGCATATGTTCTGGTAATCACTGTAGATGAATCTTGAGAAAATCCTGAGATGCTGCGGCTGCCTCAGCATCTGCTCTAGGAGCGTGGCTTGGGAGGAAACTGAAAGTCTGTCGAAATCAACAACCTACTGCTTCAGGTAAAAACTATATATACACACAAGTTTCCTAACAACAAAGAGGTGGCATTGCATTACTCACTATAGATGCACTTGTTTAAATTTCATTTTCTGTCCCTTGTTTGTTGTTTACCTTGGGAGAAATTAAGATTAGTGTGTTTTGCAGGTAACGGAACCAGGATGACTTACTTGCTGACTAACCTTGCCATATTATGCCTGAGCAGGAGACATTGAATGTTGTAATCTTAAACACAAACCGGTGCCATCTATGGTGAGAAACATGTGACTAGTGGTAGTAAATTCCACTGCACTGAACCTGTAGGAATAATTCAACCACAGTTTGTGTGAGTAAATAGCCCTTTAACTGATTTGACGGTGTGGATTTAAATGAACCCCAACGCCACGCACTATGGGTTTAGAGTTTTAGAGAACTGCGAGCGGTATCAGGGCTCACTGGGTCACCTACACCTCCTGAATGAAAACTGGTAGGTCACTCACTGTAGTACACGATTTGATTATTATTTTCATTATAGTGTGGTAGGTAGAGGGATTCTCCAGATTAATGATAAACAGAAATTTTAACTTGGAAAATGAAAGTTGGATTAGAGGACAAGAAAAAAGGTTAAAAATAAATAGGTCAGGGAAGGGTGGAGGAAGAGAAGAGGTAAACAGGCTGCTATTTTAACACCAGCGTGGCCTCGCTGCCATCCTTTCTCTGCAGGTACAGCCCCTGGCTCAGGTGATGTTCCCGACGCAAGTACGCGTAGAAGTAGTCCGACATGAGTAGGATCTAATGCGCACACACAGACACACACACACACACATTAAAAGTAATAAGCACACATTTATTATAGTGAAATGAAGAACTTAATTCAGTTTCGTGTCCTTGTGTGATGTCTTTTTCCTGTGAAGAACAGGTCATTCGTATGCCTGCAGTATGGGACAAGGGGGACATCGTGCAGTTACAGGGCACTCAGCAATATTTACAGGTCCAACTGAATCTATGGTCAGTAAGGACATGCAAGTCCATAAATATTTGGACATTGACAAAGTTATCATCATTTTAGCTGTCTACCACAGTATACTGGTGTTAAATAAATTAACTAAATATGATCTTTAATATGTTCAAAGTGCAGACTTTCAGCTTTAATCTGAGGGAATTTTCCTCCAAATGGAGTGAACGGAATAGGAATTACAGCACTTTTTATATGTGGGCCAAGTTGAACATATATTAGATTTTATTTCACATTAATGAACTCATAATATTCTCCATTTCCTGTGACAGAAGGTGAGGGAGTCACAGAAACAGCTTTAATGTTAAATCCAGTTTTAAAATTTCACTACCAAAGAAAACTGAATGAAATATAAAAATGAATATCTTAATTAAAAACATGTTTAAAATAAAATTATGCAGCATCCCTACATATTAAATAGTATTTAAGTAGTGGGCAAGTCAGTTATTTAATTGAGTTGGTACTGCCAGCATTTGTTTCCATTTTTCGCATGTCTAAAATCTGTACACATTATTTTTGGTAACTACATAGTAAAAGAAAGCATGAAACCTGCTTACCTGTCCAACGTTGAATAGCAGTGTGATGGCATAGTAGAAGTTTGAGTTGGCACTGCCAGCATAGATCCAGAGATGCCAGAGCACAGGGAAGAGGACTGAGCATGCCAACAAAATGCAGGACACCAGGAAGATGTTCCTCAGGACTTGAGAAAAAAATTAAAATCTTTCAATGTACAGTGGATGAAATGCTTAAATTAATAGTAAGACTTTTTCCCCCTACACGTCACAAAACACAAAATTAACTTGTTTCATAATGCTGATTCCAAGTTTGTCCACGTAACTCTCTCTTCCTGAATCAAGTGTACAGCAACAAAGGCTAAAGCTGATAACATTAACATGAAATCTAGCATTACTTAGAGCGAGCTCATGCGAACTGTTCTA